TGCAAAGCAGAACATCTGATTTACAGAATATTAAACGCCATAAGATTTTATTCATTATCGTAACTTAGACGGTATAGAACATTCTTATCACTCAATAGTGTCTTGTAACTTGCTTCATAACCCATGTAGATAATACAGCGTTTTGTGTTTAAGCTCCAGTAGATATCTCAGTAATTAATGCTGTCATGATGCCCGATTATCCCCTAACCTAACCTAACGTAACATAACCTAATCTTTAAGAAACTTCCACTTTCCCAAAATGCATCCTTTGCCCTACGTTTAATATTTGACGACTAAAACTATAGTCTTATATAAGACATTTATTGACTTATTCTAGACACACGCAGAGCTCAGACGGTTAGCCGCTTTCCCGATCGGTCTCGTTCATGCATAAATTGTGACGTACATGTCATCGGGACAGGCATTTCTCAAGGTCTTTAGATTCTTCCACGTCAGTATCATTCAACCTTTGCTTCGTATTCTCTAATGTCACGCCAGGGGGAAGAAGAATGGGTCTTTGGGGGCCCAGACACAGATCTCAACCCGTTGCAGCAACACAAAAACATTTTGTCAGTTTCAATTCGCCCCACAGCTCACGTAGGGTCTTCATAAGCACCAACTTCAAAGCTTGTTTACGTGCGTAAAATTAATGAAGTACGCCCGCCGTCAGGGCGGTATAGCTAGCAACTGGTAGCATTTACGTGCTGATTAATTAAAATATATTGACAACAACAGTGCTGCTCTCTCTCGATTATTCTTGGAACCATCGAAAACGACCACAAAACCTGTCATAATGCGACACATTTTTGTAACCGACTTAATCACATACACACAAAGAAATTTCGATGTATTGCAATATCTATCAGGATGATTTCCGAGTTTTAAAATTTGTTATTATTATTATTATCATATATTTTTTTGCCAACTCATGGTTCAACAGAACACAGCACTTAAAGCATAATCACAGCAATATCGAATGACGACACACCACAAAAAACACTTTGAATATAATAGTTGTCATCATCAGGGCGCCCTGATGATGGAGGCAGCAAGGACCTCTGAAACGTCGGTAAACATCTACCAGACTACACGGCGCTACAGTCCAGAAGACAGCCATCCTTAATGGTAATTCATTTCAGATTTATTAATAACTTTGGTACGTTACAAGCCCGATGTGACAATTATGTTATTCTAGACGATTTTTTCTGGAACACCTTGTTAAGATTACAATTAAATACGAGGTTAGGTTAGGTTGGGTTGGGTTAGGTTAGGTTAGGTTGGGTTAGGTTAGGTTAGGTTAGGTTGGGGTGGGGTGGGTTAGGTATGTGAGCACAATTATTAATTTTATATTTGTTCCATACTCCACGATTATTCGTGCGAGATTCAAATATTCGGTTCAGAAATACAGAAATCAGGAGCGTTTTCCAGTGACCTTGAAATTTATGGTAACAGACTAATGGCAGAGAAAACGCCGACCTATAGCGCGCGTTCATTTAATGTTGACTTATCCGGGTTATGACGTGGACACAGCGTATCTTGTTACGCAAAGCAGACATTTCAGGTCCTTCATTATCGTTGTTATACTTCGGTAATACAAATTTATAATCCAACAACAAAAATATAATTTAATTTATAAACGTGATGGCCTCGTGCGTAGATAGCCACACGCCGTCGAGGTTACACAAAAAATGTTATAATCATTAATGATATTAACTGGTATAGTCGTGAAATGCCAGTCAGTGCGTCATTAGAATATTTTTCCTAAAACACATTCATTGCATTGATTAACGTTCGATGTTTTAAACCGATACCAACTACATTGGTTCTAAACACATACACACACAGACCTAAGTCAGATTGTTTAACCAAGGATTATTTTTTAAAATAAATCTCGTGTTTCTCTTCTTGTCTTATCAATGCAGGCTGTAATTCGCCTTGGAGAGTCTGTTTCATGTTCGTTGTAATGGCTAACACACCCACGCATTTCGGCAACGTTTTGTGACAAGTATTGATTGCGCGGCGTCTGGCACTTTCGATATCCTTGACATCGTGGGGGGGGAGGGGGGGTGTATGCAGAGGACGAAGTATACAGATTCAAGATACGTTCGAGAACCAGGCGGATGCGAAGATACTGACAGATCTCAGAGGAATAACAGATTTACGGCATGAATGGTTCTGTATCACCGCATTCAGTAAATATATACGTTAAAAGAACCTTCATTTTCTTACGTAAATAAATTGGGAAATCCGAATTTAAGGGATTCCGTACATAAATATGGATGTTTCATCTAGCTTCAGATGAAAGATGTGATATTGGATAACAAGAGATTAGTTTCAGTATCCGACTTACCCTTCAGATGAATTGCGTGAGGAGTGCCACGGCAGACAATTTGTAGAACCAGCTCCTAAAACAAAATCAAGATTCGATCAGTAAATTGAAAATCGCTGAAGTCCCAAGGAACGACGTACAATCGTATAATAACAGAACATCAAAAACAAATCCGAATTAACAGAAAATGGAGAGACGACTAGATTTGAGACTTTCGCGGCGAGTACAACAAATAAAATCTTCTCGGGCAATCTGCCGCGTAAACTCGTTACCGTAGTAAACCGACGTTTCGGTAACCAACTCTGTCCCCATCATCAGGGATCTCATATGACTGGATACCTCGGAAGTCGCCTGTGTATACACAGGCGACTTCCGAGGTATCCAGTCATATGAGATCCCTGATGATGGGGACAGAGTTGGTTACCGAAACGTCGGTTTACTACGGTAACCACTTAACGCGGCCAATTGCCTGAGTAGATTTTATTGGAGAGACAACTGTTTGAACAAAGAACAGTTATGATTTTGAATCTATCGATAGGCGAAGTCTCGACACGAATGATGGACTACTGGGTGTAATGGTAACCGCAGAAATGTCGTGTTTGAGAGTAGCACATAATTTCCCCTCAGCTTTGTTTCTAGAAAAGCTGATGGCCGCTTTCAATAGCATCACTTTTCATTCCATGTCGTGATAATAACAAAGATAGAATTCGCACACATTTGAATTATCGCACTCTAGTGCGGTAAGCTGGAACTCCAACACGTTATTACAGTTCTGTGTGATCAATAGAAGATCTGCCATATCAAACGCGTTGTATTCATACTGATACCATCAAAGGGCGAGATTTTCGAGCGACAAAGCCGTGATGAGTTTTATCAACATTAGGGCTCGCATTACTTCAGATCTCTGTCAAGTTTTGTAAATGATGAAGTGTTAATAACTGCCTAAGGTTGTACTGAACTTACAGGTCACTCAAATTGTGGGGAATGTCTGAGTTAACTAGACGACCATCAGCTTCTGAAAGGGACTCAGCACCGTGGACCTAGTGCCTTCAAATTAACAAGAGTTGATTATGTAGTGTTAGGTTAGTTTCATATCAACCCTTTGAAGTCAAAGCTCATAAGTATTTAAGGATTCAGTCCGTACCGCGAAGTAAACACAACTCTTCACCATTACAAAGATCAACTGGTTAACGCTGTTTAAGGAAATAATCGCTGTTCACAGCGAGAATTAATACGAAACACATAAATACAAAATGAAGAGTTACTGATCTTTAAAGCACTTGGTTAATATACTTACCACCTGGCTCTTAACGGTCAACTAATTTGAGAGAAGAATATAAGATTAAATTTCTTACAAGCGTACACACAGTACTTAAAAGTTACTCGTCTTAATGACGACGTTATAGTAATTTGACAGCAACCCACAATTAAATCTACCGTGACAACTTACAGCGTATATAAACAGTACCAATTTTAATCGAAATTCGTCATTCAAGGTTCGGAGATAAACCTTACGGGCGCATCTATAGGCTATACGAACCCCCTGTCGAATACGCGCTCATTTAATGATTTTTATACAACACAAAGTAAGCATTGAAATGGCTGAACTGTTGGCAGGATCTCAGATTGACAGGCCAGAAGTTAGTGAGATGCACAGTGTCCTCGAAGTATTCGGGACATAACCACAGGAATGCAGCCCGGCCACAATGGATGAGGAGGGGAGTAATGAGTTATGTTCCGCTGCTCATTTCTGTGGTGGAGGGTTAATGGGTGAGGGGGTGTGAGGGGAACAAATGTTGCTAATTTTCCATTGTTCATTTCTGCAACAGGAAGTACTTTTCCTCCTCATTGAGGAAAAGTGCTACTTGTGAGATCTCAGGTTCCCAAGGCAGTAAAAATTTCGATGTCTTCCTGGGTCATGATGAAGCCACGTGGACTTGGAGACACTGTGAGTTCCTCAAGAGAAATGCTTTGACCCTGGCAGTGTAGAACAGCTACAAGTCTTTAACTCCGTGAACACAAAGTAGTGTTTCAACAAATAATGAATTCGTAGTCAGAAATTTGCGGCTGACGGACTTCCGCGTGGGTCTGCACTGCCGAGGTAAAAGATTTTTCTTATGAGTAACAAACAGTACATATTATTCTCAGAAAACTGCTGTCTTCATATTCGGGGCTGAAATCTTGTGGAATTTACCACGACATAGAGGAGGAAAATAAGGAAACAAATTTAACGTTTCAATTCAACGTTCAATGTTCAAGAACCCAGGACCCCCAAAAGTGTTGTTATTACTGTGGCGCCTACAAGTCAGGCAACAGGCATGACAGTGACATCTAGACGTGAAAGAAAGAAACTAATCTGAGCCCAAAGTACTCAGAGTGCGAAAGTAGTTACTCGTTTGTTCTTCGACATTCAGACATTAGATATTGCAAATTTTAAACACGAATATGTACGTCTCATTAAAAGAAGTCTCTCTCAATTTCTCTACGTGCTAAAATACTACATGTTGGAATGTAAAACGCTAAAAATTATATACAAAACACTTCATTTAAATTACGCGACCTTAGGATTCAGTAACTTTTGATTTATTGTCGTATTTTTTGTTGGTCATAATCCACTGTCTGTTACAGAAAGCAACGTGCACTTAAAAAAAAAGAAGCTTATTTCGTTCCAGACAAGAACGTATCTACTCTAGGGGACTCGTTGAATAAAGCTGATTTTCACGAATGGTCGTAGGGACAGTGACAGAATGTGAACTCGAGAGCAATCACTTCTTCGAGGGAGACAGACACTTCATTTGTTATAAATCGCTTTCGTCCGGTACGAAATTATGAACAAAATATTTACGGTATGAATTTTAGTGTACCTAGAGAAAAATAAATCATAACAAGTAACCGGGATTTAAAGTTGTCTACAGACCGTCGGACATTTGAACACTGCAACAACCCAGAAGACAGAAATCTTCATACTCATCGCCCTGATGACGGAGGCAGTATGACCTCTGAAACGTTGGTAAACATCGACCAGACTACACAGCGCAACAA